GTACGAGGGTTGGCGTGAAATCGGCCACGAAGTCCGCTAAAATTTGAGAGTTGATGGCCATCCGGGGTTAATATTCGATATCGTACCCACTGAGTTCGACGGTCCATTTGGCCAATCGGTCCGATAGTTTGGGCTTATACAAAATATTACGAAGTGGGTAAGTGGTTAATACGCATATGAGGTGACATTGAAAGTATGGTCTTAACTTTCTAGAGGCGCTTATCAGTGCAAGTGCCAATTTCTCCAAGTGTGGATATCTAGTTTCTGCTTCTCCTAAGGTTCGACTTACATAATAAACGGAAAATTGCGTACCTTGCTCTTCTCGAACTAGGACACCACTTACCGCGATTTTCGATACTGCCAAGTACAAGTAAAGTTTCTCATCTGCCTTTCGAGTGTGAAGCAATGGTGGGCTCGATAGGTATCGCTTCAATTCCTCTAATGCCTGTTGGCATTCCGGTGTCCAGGCGAAATCGTTCTTCTTTTTGAGTAGAGAGAAAAATCTGTGGCTTGGATCCGACGACCTCGAAATGAATCAGCCTAAGGCAGCTATCCGTCCAGTTAGCCTTTGCATGACTTTTACACTGTCCACGACGGTGATGTCTTTGATAGCCTTGATTTTATCGGGGTTGATCTCGATCCCCTGATTCGACATCATGAAGCCAAGGAACTGGCCCGAACCGATCCCGAAAGTACATTTCTTGGGGTTGAGCTTCATGTTGTATTTCCTTAAAATCTCGAATGTTTCCTGCAAATGAGCCAATGGCCCTCTGCACGCAGGGACTTAACTAGCCTGTCATCAATATAAACTTCCATTGATTTACCTATTTGTTCTTTGAATATTTTATTTACTAGGCGNAGGCAATGGAAAAGAATCTTTGGGGCACGCCTTGTTTAAATCCTTATAATCTCAACATTCCAAGTTTGTTCCCTTTTTTAGGGACTACAACTACATTGGCTAACCATTCGGGATATTTCACCTCCCGAATGGACCCTATTTTGAGAAGTTTAGTTACCTCGTCCTTTATGAATGCGTGCTTGACCTCGGACTGGGGTCTTCTCTTCTGCTTCACCGGTTTGAACCTAGGGTCCAGGCTTAGTCGATGTGTCGTTATCTCCGGTGGGATCCATGTCATGTCTAAATGGGACTAAGCAAAACAATTTATGTTATCAATAAGAAATTGAATAAGCTTTTTCCTGAGTTCAGGGGTTAATCCCGTTCCCAGGTATACCTTTCGCTCGGGCAGGTACTCGATCAATATAACCTGTTCCAGCTCTTCGACCATTGATTTGGTGGCGTCAGAATCTTCGGGAACAATAAAAGTTTGAGGGGGTAAGAAAATCCTCCTCTTCTTCTTCTTCTTCTTCTTCTTCTTCTTCTTCTATCTCCTGCTTCCCCGATTCGGTCGAGGCTGGTGGCTGTGATTGCTATTTGACTTCCTGTTTATCTTTGATGCTTGACCTTTTCGAGGTTGATAGTGTCGATATCGATGTTACCTCATCGACTGCAAATATTTCCTTTGCAGCATGCTGCTCCCCGTATACTGTTTTTACACTGTCCGACGTCGAGAATTTCATCATTTGGTGGAGAGTCGAAGGGACTGCCCTCATATTGTGGAACCAAGGCCTTCCGAGCAGGGCATTATACCTCATGTCGCCCTCGATTACGTGGAACTTGGTATCTTGAATGGTTCCAACCACGTTTACCAGTAGAATAATCTCCCATTTAGTTGTTTCACTGGCCATATTGAAGCCGTTTACGACCCGAGCTATGGGAACGATTTGATTTTGTAGGCCGAGCTGCTCCACGACCCTCGATCGGATGATATTCTCCGAGCTACCTGGATCTACTAAAACACGCTTAACTTGAACTTTATTTAATAAGATAGAAATTACTAGAGCGTCGTTGTGGGGCTGAGAAATGCCTTCTGCTTCATCGTTTTGGGCACATTATGTCAGGTTCGTTTTTCCCTACTGATTGATACCTTAGTGCGTTTGAATATGGGTCCCTGTGGAATGTCGACCCCACCGATGATCATATGAATGACATGTTGGGGTTCCTCCTGTTCATTTTTCCTGTTGGCGTCCCTTTCTCTGAAATGATTCTTGGCTCGATCGCTGAGGAACTCTCGATGGTGGCCCTCATTGAATAGATGGGTTACCTCCTCCCTTAATTGCCTGCAATCCTCGGTCTTGTGACCATGCGTGCTATGACACTTGCACATCAAATTTGGGTTTCTTTGGGAATGATCGCTTTGTATGGGTCTGGGCCACCTAGTATCTCTGATCTTTCCGATTGCCGATACAATGCCCGATGCATCGATGCTAAGGTTATATTCTGATAACCGAGGTACCTCTGTGGGATCGACATACTTATCAAAACCACTTTTGCTCATAAGTCCCCGAGAATTCTGTCCTCGATCACTTCTTCGATCATTCCGAGCGGAATTGCGTCCTGAACTATTGTTTCTTCGATCTGCGGTATATGGTTGATATCGGTCTCTGTTCGACCTTGGCTCCCTGTCGATGTCCTAATGGTTTTTAACTATCGACCGGTTTGGATGTACTGAACCGGAAGAGGCTCCTAATTGGTCGTCCTCGACCCTGATCTTTGATTGATATCGATTATGCACATCTGCCCAAGTTACAGCTGGATACTCGATCAAATTTTGTTTCAACTGACGTGATGCTATCGAACTCCACTCGTTAAACCCTTGGGTGAAAGCTTAAACGACCCAATCATCTGTGACCGGTGGCAACTCCATGCGTTCCATTGGAAATCGGGACACAAACTCCCTCAACATTTCATTATCCCTTTATTTTACCTTGAAAAGGTCTAATTTCCTCGTTGCGACCTTTATGGCCCCGGCGTGTGCCTTTATGAAAGAATCTGCTAACATGGCAAATGAATTGATGAAATTTGGTAGCAGGTTGTGATACCAAATCATTGCTCCCTTCGAAAGGGTCTCTCTGAAGTTTTTCAACAACATAGATTCAATTTCATCATCTTCTGAATCGTTACCCTTGATGGCGCATGTATATGAAGTAACATGCTCGTTGGGATCGGTAGTCCCATTATATTTGGGTATATCTGGCATATGAAACTTCTTTGGAATAGGCTTCGGAGCCGCACTTGGAGGGAACGACTTCTGTACAAACTTCTTCGAATCCACTGCTTTCAAGAATGGCGGTGCCCCCGGTATCTGATCAACTCGAGAGTTGTATGTCTCCAATTTTTTTATCGTTGGCTTCGATTTTCTTCTCCCCTGATTCAATTATTTTGGTGAGCTCCTCGAGCATTTTCATTACCGCAGGATCAGTCCCCGATTCATTACTATTCGACCTTTCCAATACTGGCTCGGTACATCGAGTAATTTCCGACTCGACCCTACTCGGAGCTCTATGTTGATTTTGTAACTGAGCAATAGTGACTTGCTGAGCCTGAAGCATCTCGAATATCACTTGGAGACTGACTCCTTCGTCTCCTCTGCCCTATGTTCCTTGACCACTAGATTAGCCTTCCCTGCGTACACTCCCATCGAGATTTGCGCCTAGGTACGCGTTTAGAGCAACATGCGAACTGACATTGACTGGGTTGGCAACCAATGCTCCCCCGAGATTAGCCCGTGGCACCTCGACTCCTGGAGCAATCACATTTTCGTTTTCACCGTGGAATCCGAGGCCATTGTCACCATGTGTGGATGTGTTTTGTGAGTTTGACATGTTTTAACCTGAAAGCAAAGATACTTGACAATAACAAGCGTAAAATAGTGTGTTTTACCAGAATCAGTACTGAACAATCACTATTATCCTTAGTCCCACGGTGGACGCCAAACTGTTTCCCCTAAAAATTGAATAACAATTAAACTTATATTGTGGTTTTAAGGATATGTGATTTAAACCAGCACCAATTGTTAAACAACGAATTAAATAGATAACTTGGACAATAAAATAAATTAAACCGGTCTGCAAACGATGCCTCGACCTCGATTCGAGAAAGTCTCGAAGTTAGTTAATAAGAACAATATAGGATAGAACAAACAACGATGAACAATGATAAACAAAGAAAATAACGTATATGTATATTCTTGTCCGTGAATAATGTTGGTCCCTACAAGTAAATAAAATCCCTCGTTATATAATAAAGGAATCCTAAATAAGGTACAACTCTAATAACGGAAGTAGATCCCATGATTGGCGCTAATAACCGCTTTGATTTGATCTGTTCCGGAATTTTCGCCCTGACTTTCGACCGATTACTGATATCTCGCCATTCCGTTATTACGGCTTTCTCGAAGTCAGTCATGCTCGATCTCGATTATTGCTGGCCTCGATCTCAATGAACACTTCGATCTCCAGGTGTGATGTTCTATCTTCGAGCTTGGGGCCGATCTATTATGAAGTTACCCTCGAGGCAACTCCCCTGCCAACGAAATCGGGTATGCCCGATTTCAACCGTATATAGTAGAAAGAGTACTTTCTTTTCAACTAAAAAAAGAGTATTTTCTTTTTAGTTATGGAGCACAAATTTCAACGCTATTTTTGCATAAAAAAGTAAAGCAGCAAATTAGTTCGTTTGGGTTTGTATGAATTTTCAAAAGAATAATTAAATTATTAAAAATAATAGAGTCCTGAAAACGTTGAATATTGGGGGGAGACACAAGAAATATGGGGACTTGGGAGAAGGAGGTGAGTAGAGTAGTATAAAAAATTATTTTTCTAAAAAATATTTTTACTCTCTATTCAAATACTAAAAAATATTTTTCGATTTTTTTTCACTCACCAAACAAATAAGGAATAATAATTGATAAAACCACATATTTTTCATAAAAAACTTTTGCAGGAAAACATTTTACTTCCTACCGAACACACCCGAAATGAAAGGAGTCCATTGCCATTTGTAAGTTTTTTTCCGAAGACGCCGTCAACCTAGCAATTTTTCTTTTGGGACAAGTTGGCATGGCCAGTCCAATAGTCCATTCGCTCAACTCCTTCTCGAAGGCAAAAAAAAGAATAATTTCTTTATTTGAAAAAAGAAAAAGGTAGCAGCTGTGCAGGAAGTGCGAACAAGTTCTCCCTTGCGACTTTCACTCTCTCTGTTTCCATTCTCCCCCAAACCCTATTCTCTTTGATCTTCATTTATTCTTCACGTCAAAACCTTCTTCTCATCATATTTTCTTCTATATTCTGTAAGATCTACTTTGTGGCCACCATTTCTCTCTCTCTCTCTCTCTCTCTCTCACACACACACACACACAAAAGCGTATTAATAGTATTGGAATTTCTCCTAAATTTGTCTTTTTATTGATTTAACAGCTTTAATAGATCAAATCTACGATGCTGGGCGTTTTAAGGCGCAAGGCTTCTGCTTCGGTACAATTCCTCATTTAGCCCTTTTTCATTTGCGTACTTTTTTTCTGAGCTTTATTTATGAGTTGATAAAATTAATATAACGAAATTTTGTTTTTTTACTGGACAGTGCTTAGGGAAAAATCTGCAAGTGATTCGACCTACAGTGTCTACGTCTAGAATTCCCTCTGCCACAACAGAAAAGGTAATATAAATGCTTTATTATCTTGCTAAGATGCAGATTTATTTTCAGTTTAGAGGAGGTCAATTTTATGCTAAATTGTATTTGGAACATTTGAACCTGGAATTTTTCGCACATTTGAGTCTGAGCCATGTGACTGATGGTCAGTTTTGAAATAAATACGTTATTGAGCTATTAGGTTAAAGTAATTGATGTTCATCAGTTGATAGTTTTGGTTATTTTATTTGATGATGGTGGTGTCCGGGCCAACTTGCGCTCACCTCGACTATTCCACCAGTTACTTGTTACCTCTACCAACATAGGTACCGGGTAACTCTGCCACCAAGGCTTGGGCAGATGGGAAGAAATCACCTAGTGTTTTTGCCTATGCTGGGATTAGTTTATATTGGTTAATGAAATGACATTGCTTAGATTTGAATTTGAGGTTATCCCGGGAGTACCATGCATCAAAATAATTTTTTTCCTTTCATGTAGTAATTTTGATGGTGGTTTTGCTAATTTGGTTTGAATGGTTTAATGTCAGTCCTTGGATCTCACCTAATGTTTACTTCACCATGTCTTTTTTCTTTCCGATTTCTCCTTATATACTGTGACGTGCCAGATTTTGGCTTTGATTGCGTTTGATAGATTATGTTATCCAGGCTCTTTATCATTTTGTTCTCCTCTAATTCCGGGATGGTATTAGTTGTCTTTTGAAAATTTGGAGGTCTCATATCTTTGGACTGGCTATGCTCCTTTCCCCCCCTTGTAAATCTTGTTCAATTTGAGATTTTAGGCATAACATACTTTGCACATGTCAACAGCTATTACTTCTTCCTAGACAATGTGGTCATACTCGGAATTTCAGTCACCTTGTTTTACCTGGTAATTGTGGTGGCTCAATTACAAATTCAATATGTTCGTTTTACGTCGCTATCATTATTAACTCCTAATTTATGATACAGGATGCTCAACGAATTTGAGGCCAGAAAGGTTAGTAACCGTTTTCATTGCTAGTACATCTATTGCTTTTATGTTAAGCTGTATAGCATGAATAGATGCACCATACGCTTACCTCAATTAGCATTCCGCATTTTTCTCCGCGTAGGACACCCTGCTTTAGTTCAATGCTTGGAGGTGAAACCAACCATTGTTTTTTATCTTTGCATATCTTGGAGTCCTGTCTAAGTATTGCTTTTAGCTATACGGCTTGGTCATTATTTTTTGTCATTATGCTTACTCGAAGAAGAGACCTTGGTTTTGGCAGCTGCCTTTGTGCCTTCTTGTACTTGAATGAGAAATTAAGAGCTAGCGCAGTGTGAGAAAGACAGTATGTTCATATGTGCCAGAGAGATAAAGATCTACATGTTTCTGCACATGATATAAGTGAAATACTCCCCTTCCCGATACAATTTAATTGCCTATAGATTAATAAATGGAATGACTTACATTGTTTTTCAAATTGTTGTTAGAAGAATAATTATAATTGTTGAAGATTGATAAGGAGAACATCATAGTATGATCTAGATTTGCGTTTTGAAGATAGTGAATTTTATACTTGTAACATGTGTGGATGATTTTATTGTGTCTTAAGACATTTTGGGACATCTATAGATGGAACTTTGTCACACAAACTAAGATTAAGGGAGTTTTATGATCGCAGATCTGATTACTTCATATGCTCGAAGAAGTCTTTGTACCCATTATACAACAACAACATATCTAGTATTATCCTACACCGTGGGGTCTGGGGAGGGTAGTGTGTACGCAAACCTTACCCCTACCTTGTGAGGATAGAGAGGTTGTTTCCAATAGACCCTCGGCTCAGGAAAACATAAGCACCACATTAATGAAAATATAGACAAGAAGGGACAATACCAAAATATCATATAAAAACAGAATAAAAACAACAAGATAATAAGGTAATCAACAATGAAAAAAAAATAACGGTTTGTCATAAAAACCTACTACCTACAGAAAGCGAGATTGCGTGCCAATACTACTGTTATGAACACTCTAGACTACCTACTTTACTACCCTAATCCTCGACCTCCATACCTTCTTATCAAGGGTCATGTCCTTGGTCAGCTGAAGCTGCGCCATGTCTTGCCTAATCACCTCTTCTTTGGCCTACCTCTATCTCTCCGTAGGCCCTCCAATGTCAACCTCTCACACCTCCTCACCGGGGCGTCTGTGCTCCTCCTCCTCACATGACCAAACCACCTAAGCCGCGCTTCCCGCATCTTGTCCATAATAGGGGCCACACCCACCTTGTCGCGAATAACCTCATTTCTGATCCTATCTAACCTAGTGTGCCCGCACATCCATCTCAACATCCTCATCTCTGTTACCTTTATATTCTGGACACGAACGATCTTAACTGGCCAACACTCAGTCCCATAAAACATCGTTGGTCTGACCACCACTCTGTAGAACTTACCCTTAAGTTTCGGTGGCACTTTTCTGTCACACAAAACATCGGAAACGAGTCTCCATTTCATCCATCCCGCCCCAATACGATGTGTGACATCTTCATCAATCTCCCCATCTCCCTGAATAATAGACCCAAGGTACTTAAAACTCCCTCTCCTAAGGATGACATGCGAGTCCAGCCTCACCTCTCCTTCCCCCTTGAGTCTCGCCACAGAACTTACACTCCAAGTATTCTGTCTTGGTCCCTCTTAACTTGAAACCTTTAGATTCCAGGGTCTGTCTCCATACCTCTAATTGCGCGTTTACACCGTCTTGCGTCTCGTCAATCAATACAATATCATCTGCAAATAGCATGCACCACGGCACCTCCCATTGGATGTGGCATGTCAGTACGTCCATCACCAGAGCAAACATAAAAGGGCTGAGTGCCGACCCCTGATGCAACTCTATCATAGCTGGAAAATGGTCTGAGTCCCCACCCACTGTCCTCACTCGGGTCTTTACTCCATCATACATGTCCTTAATCAAGCTAACGTAGGCAACAAGTACACCTTTAGCCTCCAAACATCTCCACAAAACCTCTCTCGGAACTTTATCGGACGCCTTTTCTAAGTCGATGAACACCATATGCAAGTTCTTCTTTCTCTCTCTATACTGCTCCATCAATCTCCTAACAAGGTGGATGGCCCTAACAAGGTGAATGGCTTCTGTAGTCGAACGCCCCGGGATAAACCCAAACTGGTTCTCGGAAATAGACACCCTCCTCCTCACCCTTAGCTCTACCACTCTCTCCCAGACTTTCATAGTATGGCTAAGCAGCTTGATACCCCGATAGTTATTGCAATTTTGGATATCACCCTTGTTCTTTGTATACAGGAACCATCGTGCTCTAGCTCCACTCTTCGGCATCTTCTTCGTTCTAAAAATGACATTAAATAACCTAGTGAGCCACTCCAAGCCTGCCTTGCCCGCACTCTTTCAAAACTCCATCGGGATTTCATCCGGCCCGGTCGCTTTGCCCTTGCTCATCTTACACATAGCCTCCTCAACTTCATCAACTCTAATCCGCCTACAATACCCAAAGTCACGATGACTCCCGGAGAGTTCCAAATCACCTAGTACAATGCTCCTGTCCCCCTCTTCGTTCAAGAGACTATGGAAGTAGGTCTGCCATCTCTGGCGGATAAGCCCCTCATCTAACAAAACTCTACCTTCTTTGTCCTTGATGCACTTCACTTGGTCCAAGTCACGCGCCTTCCTTTCTCGTGCCTTGACTAACCTGAACAACCTCTTATCCCTACCTCGGCCCTCGAGTTCCTCATACGAATGACTAAAAGCTACAGTCGTGGCCGCCGTAACTGCTAGCTTTGCCTCTTTCTTAGCCAACTTATAATGCTCCCTATTTGCCCTTTTCTCCTCCTCGTCTATACTTTCCACTAGCTTCAGATACGCTGCTTTTTTGGTTTTCACTTTTCCTTGCACCTTTCCATTCCACCACCAGTCTCCCTTGTGACCACCAGAGTAACCCTTTGAGACCCCTAATACCTCTCTCGCGGCTTCCCTAATGCACTGCGCAGTCGTGGTCCACATAGCGCTTGCGTCCCCACTACTCCTCCAAGCCCCCATAGTCACCACTCACCAGCTTGACCCCCAACTCCTGCGCTTTAGCTTATGTCAAGGCTCCCCACCTGATCCTATGTTGGCTATACATCGCCCTCTTCCTCCTCTTCCTCGTGATCTCAAGGTCCATGACCAGGAGCCTATGAAGGGTCAAGAGGTTCTCACTCGGGATGACCTTGCAATCCATTATACAAAAAAAACAAAAAAGTGGAACTTAAAGAACCAAATTAATCTGGTTGATTTTTTTGTATACAAATATTTGTATATACTTTCAGCAGTTGACCTCTATCAACAGTACAGCCATGACCACAAACATGGATTAGTTTAGATTTGGTGTCCGAAAAACGCATTTCTCTTTTATACCCCTAAGGTCATTTTTGAATTGTAGTGTGAACAAAGGGAAAAATTAAATACTAGTAATTAGTTTCTCAGTAGAAATTCCACCTTATGCAGTAAATAACTTAAAATCATACTATTTACCTTTTATCATCCCATTATCATCACCAACTATTTAACAAGAGATGAGATAATAAGCCTTGAAGTATGTGTGCGTTGAGTGTTGCCACCAATATCTTGTCAAGATTAATCCTTTCTTTCTTATGTTGCACCCTATTGTGATGGTTGGCTTTAATGGTGGATCTTAGTGAGTAAAGAATAAAAGAGTTGTTGATTTTGGTATATTCTGCTGCTTCTTCTACCTCCCCCCTCCTCCCCGCCTTCCGTTGATCCATATAAATTATTTCATTATCTGCAGGGGAGCCGTGGCCAATCTTCACTCAAGTCTAACACTACAGATTCACAGCAGGCCCTTCTGTTCAAATAGTGGTATATCTTCTTTAGTAGTGATTAACCTTGTTTTGTATCTCGATACATGTGAACTTATTCCTTCATCTGCTGATGTCCGACATGTAACTTTAAAAATGTCATTTGGTCCCTTCTGCTTTCAGTGGTTCACCATGGATCTATCATTTTTATGCAATTAGTGCCTTGACAATATTGATGAGCTGCTGGAAAATGCTAACTACTGATTTGCCTATTGAATCTTCTCTAGTTTTTGACACATAAAATGATTATTATCTTTTGATATCTTTTTAGAGAAGATACTTTTTCCTTTTCTGTTCCTTTTCTGTTTTAGTATTGAGATCTTATATAGAAATTAAATGAATTTTGCAGGGTCTTTTGTTATTTTCCATTATGATCTTTAACATTTAACATGCTAGTTATGGTAATATACAAATTCCTATCTTGGAGTGAGTAATTTGCAATTATCTGTCCAAAGATACAGAGCTAGCTACTTGTAGTGGTGTGAAATTAAGTACTCTTTGGAAATTCACAATTGATTTATACTCCATATATTGTGAAATAATGAATTGGTTGAATGTTTATTCTTAATATTCTTCTTGTTTCCATTTCTAGTCTTCTTTTCGGTGCTATCCCTTTTTCTTCTTCTTCTTCTTCTATTGGGATTCCTTTAATCAGTAAAGAGTAACTTTTTATGTATAATAAAACCAGCAAAAGAAGTTGCTGGATAAGCTACAACCAAAGATACGACATTACAAATTGTGTAATGTGCTAATGAAGTCAGTCAGGGCACTAGGGCCAGAAGCTTTACATCTGCCATGTTGCACCAAAAACTAAGCAAAACAATACATCTGTTTTTTATATTAACAACTGTTTTATTCCTATTCTCAAACAACCTGTCATTTCTTTCTTTCCAGATTGCAGCCGGGATAGTATCCCAAATTGTGATAGAAGATCGCTGTATATCTAATCTGTTCCATCCTTGCAAAAACTGTAGTGTAGAATTGGGCATGCACCAAAGATGCCCAAGATATTTAGGAAAAGGTCCCAAATTTGGGAGGTAAATTTACAATGAAGGAAGAGATTGATGCCCTCGAGCTATTCTTCACATAAGACACATCTGTTGCATAGCTGCGTGCTTCTTCTTTTGAAGGTTGCTTTGTGTGAGACATGCATCTTTAGATACCAACCAGGAGAAACATTTAACCTTGAGAGGGGCCAAATCTTTCCAATGGGTTTCCATGGCCCAGGAATGTTATGCGAGGGAGCTTTTGTCGACATAGCATAACATGATTTCACTGAAAAAAATGCCTTTCGAATTCCCTTTCTTCTTCTGTTATTGGGCTTGGTTGGGATTTATCATGGATACGCAAGAACCTTAGAACTTTTACCCTTTTATTTTCATTATTAGTACATGAATTCGGCCAAGATTGGATATCTTGAAAAGCGTTAATCTAAAGCAGAGGAAACAGCTATACTTATACTGCAATAATGGAGTCTAACGATGACTACCATGACTAGCAAGTTCATTATATAGACACTTTTAACCTATGTATTCATTGTGTGCACAATTAGTCGTCTCTCAATTGTGGTAACGAAGTTACTATTCATCACTTTGTTTTCATTGTTATGTACATGAATTACAAAATTAGATAACCCTTAAAGTGGGTTGAGCGATGACGATCAGTGTTGACTCAATTTTATTATAATTCAGAAAATGTTTAAATTGCCATTTCCTTGTGCGCTCAATTGGATCTGCAATGTGGTGATGCAGTTACTAACATTTCGTCTTTTGTTTTGTCTCATCTGTATTTCTGCCAAAGGTGATCTGGTTGATGCTGTTGTTCCTTTTATGGGTGAATCCATAAGTGATGGCACACTGGCTAAGTTCCTGAAGAGTATGTTTTTTGTTATTGTGTCCGTGATGATATTATTTGAGGCAGAACACTTAGTTTCTTTCATGTCTCGTTCTTTTTAATCAGATCCTGGTGACAGAGTAGAAGTTGATGAGCCAATTGCTCAGATTGAAACAGATAAGGTATTTGGTTTGAGACATGTTTAACTAATTTTAATCCAAACTTTCTATGGGTTTCCTGGGAGGTTCAAAGCTTACATGTCATCTATACTTGGCAGGTAACAATTGATGTAACCAGTCCGGAAGCCGGTGTAATCCAAAAGGTAGAATATCGCTTTAACACTGGAACTCTTCATTTTCTAACCCAGTTTTATTGTGTCCTTATTTTGATACCAATGGATTCTGCATTTGCTTTTGGATATTTGTAGTTTGTAGCCAAGGAAGGAGACACTGTGGAACCAGGCTACAAGGTTGCTATCATTTCAAAATCTGGTGAGGGTGTAGAAAGTGTAGATCATGTTGCTCCGTCCGAGAAGCCATCTGAAAAAGAAGCTCCGAAGCCACCTTCTCCTGTTGAAGAGAAAAAAGAAGACGTGAAACCTAAAGTTGAGACAACTCCTGTCAAAGAGAAGTCTAAGGAAACTTCACCGCCTCCTAAGCGCTCTGCTACAGAACCCCAACTTCCCCCTAAAGAGCGGGAAAGACGAGTGAGTCTCTAAAACTTTTGAAGCTTTTGAAAGCTTATCGTCACGACCAGTGTTATTAAAACCCATGCTTTGTTGCTTAAAAAAATGAAGCTATGCATAAGCAAGGCGGTATCGCTTCAGTAGTCAAACTTTGCGCTTCTGAGAAGTGTGCGCTCCAACCAGAAGCGATTAATTTTTTGAATCTCAACTTTGAGGAGTTGGGTTAATATTAGCATTATTATATATTGGATGCTAAATTAGTTATTTTAATTATATCATAGTACTTGATTCATATGTGATCGGTATTTTCTAATCTTTCTGTAAATTGTGCACTTCACTTCAAAGAAGCATGCACTTCACTTCTCCCTTTTCGCTCGCTTCAAGCCCTGTAGACTTTGTCTCTTTATGCACTTTTCGCTTTTAAAAGCACTAGTCACGAGTATTCATTTGAGCATCTGTCGCAATTACTGTGTAGCAACATCTGAATCTTCTTTGATGATAGGTTCCCATGACCAGGCTCAGGAAAAGAGTTGCTACTCGCTTGAAAGATTCTCAGAACACATTTGCATTGTTGACTACATTCAATGAAGTTGATATGTAAGTTTGGATTGTAGTTTTGATAAACAAATTTATGAGCTTCTTTGCCGTATGTTATGGCTTAATCCTAGTGATATCAGAAAGATATCCGAAGTCCTTTGGTACCTTGATCTATGTTACCATGAATTCATTTACGGATACATATGCAGTACGTGTGTGGAAGCATCATGTGCCAGCATGTTAATCTTGCCAACTTTTAATGTATTTTGAAGAATCCACGTGAAATATCAAACCCATGTCACACCCGTTCGACATGGGTATGTCAAGGCACATGAAGGATCCTTGTAACACGGTTATTTTAATGACTAGAATTGGTTTAGTTGCCGTCCAAATTTTGGTACTTATCTTCTTTCTTTTTGATGAATTTTTTAGATAGCAAGTGACCTTTAAGGTTATAACGTAACTTTCTTTCTCAAGTTGATATCCTGGATGCAGATTTGTTTCTGTTCTAATCCAGTAGAGGTGTAGGAAGCATTTGTCATAGCCAATGAAGTGTTTGCTATGCATATTGTATTAGTTGTATTCACTAACGCCGATCTTGTTGCAGGACTAATTTGATGAAGCTCCGATCTGATTACAAAGATGCATTTGTTGAAAAGCACGGGGTGAAGTTAGGACTCATGTCTGGATTTGTGAAAGTATGAGCAGCATCAGTGTTAATACTTTTTCTTTTTACATATTCGTTGACAACCTCTGACGAAAAAGATCTATTACTTGTCCCCATAAAGAAAGTCTGACGAAAAAGATTATACTATTTCAGGCAGCAGTTAGTGCACTCCAGAATCAACCTATAGTTAATGCAGTTATTGATGGCGATGACATCATATATCGGGACTATGTAGACATCAGTATAGCTGTTGGTACCCCAAAGGTAGGCCCACCCTTTCTTTCCCTCAATATTTTGAGTTATATGACAGTTCATGGGAAATCTGTAATCTGATGTCTCACTATTGTCCTTCTACCTGCTTTTGGGAATCTATTCATGTTATTGCTAATGTTTTCCAACTTTCTTTTTCCAATTGTTCAGGGTCTGGTCGTCCCTGTTCTCCGCAATGCTGAGAAGATGAATTTTGCTGAGATAGAGAAGACAATAAACGGACTCGCTAAGAAGGCAACAAACGGAACCATCTCTATTGATGAAATGGCTGGAGGGTCATTCACAATATCCAATGGTGGTGTGTATGGAAGTCTTCTAAGTACCCCTATCATAAATCCTCCTCAGGTATGTCCCCTTGTTGAGACCACTGTTTTAAAAGGCGTTTCTGGGGCGAGGCGTACCAAAAATGCCCTGGGGCGATGGTGTGGGGCGAAAGTCTCAAGAGGCGTACGCCCAACAATTTGGGGCGTACGCCCCGAAGCTCCCGGGCGTTCGGGGCGTACGCCCGGGTGTTCGAGGCGCGTTTTTTTAGTGAGGAGTAAGCCCCAGAGACTTTTTCAAATTAAAACAAAATTTGTTGAATTAGTCCTTCGTATAATACCCAAATTCTCAAAAGTCAGTTTGGTAATTACTCAAAAGGTTTAAAAAGTAACTCAAAAGTATTAAATTTAAAAGTCAAGACCTTTTTTATTGATTTAAGCCTAAATTCATGGTTTTCTCAATTTTTTATCTTGTCCGCTAGTCTGCTAATATCTCCCAAAAGCAACGAATATTTAATTTTTTTTACAAATACAAAGAGAACTACATTCTTCTTCATAGCAGCAAATTCAAAGTTCAAATTGCAGGTTAATCATCTTTTTTGTTCCTCCATATAGAAAACTTTATTCTTTTAGACTCAAATTACTTGTGCTTGTAAGTAACGTATAATAGATTATTTTGATTAGTTTTTTGTGGGGATAGAGCACACATATATATAGTTTTCTTCAATTTTTATGCAATTTTACCTGTTTATAAATATTTTCTGACATTATATTATTTTATAAAATATTAAAAATTAAATACCCTCGGGGCTTACGCCCCGCTGAGGCATATGTAAAACGCCTCACCTTACGCCCACGCCTTTTAAAACACTACAGGAGGTTAGCAATTTCTCCATGGAGTGATCTCACCATTTAAGTTTGTTGCTTGATTTTGTAGTCGGCTATTTTGGGGATGCACTCAATTGTGAATCGCCCAATGGTTGTTGGAGGCAACGTTGTCTCAAGACCAATGATGTACATTGCGCTGACATATGACCATAGGCTGATTGATGGAAGAGAGGCGGTGTACTTTCTGAGAAGGATTAAAGATGTGGTTGAAGATCCACGTCGCCTGCTCCTTGATGTTTGAAGATATACAACCATCTCTGGCTTTTGATTTGACTGTTCATGGTATACCTGAGTGTACACTCAAGCTTAAAACCAGAATAAACATGACAATGTCACAGTTTTGGAGGCCTTGAACATTGTTTTTCCCCCCTGATTATTTAATCAGCTGCAACTATCTATACTTGAGATCTGCAAATAGAGCTCTGTTGCAATTCAATCTTTCCCTTCCCTGATTCACTTTTTCCACAACTCTTTACTTTTGACATGATGCTGAAAAAGGATTATTTCTTGTTTATATGTCACCAGCTTGAACTGTTTTTATACATTTCAGTTTCATGTTATGCAGTTACACTTCTGTCTTCTGGATTTGTGGCAATTCCTTTCTTAGAACTGCACGGGTAGCCCAATTGGATTCACACGTGTTTTTAGATTTATTTACTGTGGCCTCTATTTTCCGGATACATCTCTTGACCTAATTAGAGTAATGCGTTCTTTCAGTACTGTGGTTAGTCCCATAATCTGTCATGCATTATTGCTATAATAAAAAGGTTGTCTTGCTCTTGATGTAATTGTGTCTCTCTTGTCATTCCTCCTAATTGCACGTGAGAAGGAATTGAGGATAATGGAAGAGTTTACAAGGTATGGAGACATTAGGAATCAAATGAGCATGATTAATGTTACTCGCTCAAAATTTGACGAGTTGGGAGAGCCCGTTAATCAAGGGTGCATCATAATGGGTTAAACTCGACATATTAGGCTTGTGCTAAATTGAGCTGGAAGAGTCGAAACAAATTGATTCTTGATTCGTTATTTTGGGCTAAAATAGTTAAATCGTCTAAAATAAATATAAGATTAAACAATAGAATATATAGAAAGAGAATTGTTTTTAATCTAATTGCATGAAGAACTTATTTTAGAAGTAGTTCTAAGTTAGGCATGGCCCACAATTCGTCTCATATTTATTTGAACATATTTGGATACCATTATCAAGGAACGTGGTAGGATGAATGAGATCTCTCCACCCTTAACCAAGGGTCTCGAGTTTGAGCCTAAAAATATAGAAACTTTAGTAGAGAGTGCTTTCCTAATTGAACTTACACCAAATGAATACGATTATTTAAAGGAAAAAAAAACATATTTCGACCCACAAGTTAAATCATGATCCATACTTTTGCTTAATCTGTTTTGACCCACCAAATTCTGACCACCTCGTCCATTTAAAATTTTGCACATAGGATTTGTATAAGGCCAAAAAGGCTTCCACTTCTCATTGGATTTTTAAGTTTTCGATTGTGGAGTACTTTGCAATTTGGGGCGGCAATCCAAACAAGAAGCCTCCCTTTGACGTGTTCAATAAAAGAAGCCTCCATTTACGTGCCACCACACACATTCCTGAACCAAACTACAAGTAAATCAGTTAGAAACCACAAGCATTTTCCTTTGTTCTTTCCTACTTCTTAGTCCCTAAGCATTTTCCTTTGTTACTAGCACGCTTTTAGAGTTGAGTTAAATATATTTTCCTTTACCTCTCTAATAATTCATCACAACTAGCAACAACAACCAAACGTTGTGTTTTTTTTTGAAGATCCAACGACAATGATTCAACCGTTATTCGCACTTGTATTTTTTGAAGTAGCTGTGGTATTGATCCTCGTATTCCGAACCCCTTTAAGAAAACCTGTTTTGATGGCATTGGATAGATCAAAACAAGGGAGGGGACCTGTGATAGTAAAGAGTGCTGGTGGAACCTTATTCGTGGTTTTAGTCTCAATCTTATTCAATGTCACTATTATTCAAAACCGTGCAACGGATTCTGGCACTGTCAATCCAACTGATCAAGTTCTATTGGCTAATCACCTCCTAGAAGCATCACTCTTAGGTAAATCTTTGTCTTGTTACAACCTTTACATCTTTTATTTTATAATTTTTGTCACATTATATTTGGCAGAAAAAGATCTATATAAATTAGTCCGATAAAGTTTTAACCATGGCTCATACATAACACACAACCAACAGAATGCTTATACATTACACATCCATTACCTTATAAAACAATTTTTTTCCTGTAAAAAATATTATTAAGTTCCAACCCAATTCCAACAATGCACTTCGTTAGTATGTTTTCTTAGTCCAATATTTTCTAATAGCTTGTTTGGATGGTTGTTACCTATTGTATTGTATCGTATTGTTACTTTAAATACAATGTTTGTTTTGATTGTTATTTAAATTTTATTGTATCGTATCGTTAAATCCATCGTTTCGTAATGACGAAAAGTGCCACTTTACGGAACGATGAATTTGGTGTGGTGACGTCATTTTCTTGCTTTTTTCTCTCATATTGCCCTTCCTTAATATTAAATAATCACATTTTATCATTTACCTTACTTCTTTATATAATAATTCTACTATGTATCCTGTTTTTTCTTAATAATGTTGCAATTTTATTCTTCATATTGTTGGTGCGTGACATCATAAAATGACGGCAAACGATACAATTTATCCAAATGTTGTATTCATCAAACAATACAATACAATATGAAACAATAGATAACAATAATCTAAACTTGAAGATATAGAGAACTTCTAGTATTTTTTAATAAAAAATATTTTATTTAATATTAGATTGAGATGAGTTAAAATAGAGACCGTGATGGTTCATATACCCAATCCCAACTTATTTAGAATTGAGGTATAGTAGTAGTTTTTTTTGTTATTGTCTTACTATATTTGGTATCTGACGTAGAATAATATCTTTCTTTGTTCTGGTGTACAAATGCAGGATTTTCATTGTTTCTTGCATTGGTCATAGATAGACTTCACTACTACATAAAAGAGTTGCGTCTGCTAAGGAAGACTTTGGAGGCAGAAAAGAAAACAAAACAGAGCCGCGAGGTGGAAAATGTGACATCAAAAAGTCCGACCAAAAGTACATAGAAATGTGGAGGCTATATTTTCTGTTTGTTTGATCTTTTAGGTCGTCTTTAACACGTATATTTGACACATCCTAGTGCATGATGATGTGGTTATTTTTTCTCCTATTATTTTAAAACTCCTTTGTTTTCCTAAATGTCTGATGGTGATTTGTAATTTGTTTATTCTAAGAGTATACTGTTATTTAACTGCCACTCTTGTTATCAAACTACCAAAGAAATAGAAATGGAGAGGAACCATAAAGTTTCAAGGACTGGCTTGTTCGAATATTTTCAAAAATAGAGCATATAAAAAGTTTTGAAAGTTTGCAAACTCTAATTATTGGAGTTGCTTCTGGAAAACAAGAAAAGTTAAAGGATTTTTTATGGGAAGGAAACAAAGATAGGAGGGCTTTCCATTTGGTGAGGTGAGATAAGGCTGTTCTAGAGAAAAATAGAGCAAATTATGCTATATACCTATACTATCCAAAATAATTACCTGCCTTGATCTATTCTAGAAATAATTACAATATATACCTATGCAACCAAAAGTAATCCCCGTTAATCCTTCTTCCTATTTTGTTCTTGTTAAAGCTAACTTTTCTCCTCCTTTTCTCTTTCTTCTCTTATCATTTTCTCCACTCTTTCTCTTTCTTTCCTTTTGCCAATATCCCTACAATTTTTCATTAGATATATGATCTATCTACTCCCTCTCCTATCTTTATCATTTGCCCCAGCAAAAAAAAAAAAGCTAAAAAAGAAAGATCTATCAAAAAAGGATAGAAATTTCTAAGGTTTCAGTTTGCTACAAATTTGTGAGGTTGTATATGTAATAACAAATTTTAATTGCCGACGTTCTTTTCGGCAAGTTTTGGTCGTATTCACCTTATCGACTTTACTTTGGAGTTTGACCATCTAATTCATTTCCGAAAGCGACCAAATCATTAGTACAAATTTGGCGGTATTGTGACAAGATATGTGTTTGTTTGAAGTATTTTGCTGTTGAAATTGTTGGGTGTTGTTAATTGATGGTAGATTATGGTGTTAATGCTAATTTTTTGAGATTTATTATAAGAAAATCTAGTCCACCATCGAGGAACTTAAAAAGTTTGAAACTCATAAAGAGTGTTTGTTGAGTTTGTTGTTGTTTCGATTCGATGCTGACTAGAGTGTGATTGAAATGTTGATCGTAGGCTGTGGCAAAAATTTGAGTCAATTTGATAAAAATTTTGGAGATATATTTTTGGATTTTGGATTAAAATTGAGTTGAACTAGTGAATTAGTGAAGAAGATGAATTTGTAATGTATACCAAAATGTTATAACATATAGCATTTTGGTATATAATAATTAATTCAATAATATAATTAATTACAATAGTATACTATTATGGTATATGATATAATGTAATAGTATACCGTTGAACAACGAATATAAGATACTATTTTGGTATACTATATGCCATTTTGATATACAATACATAATTCAACAATATACTATTATTGTGTACAATATAATATAACAGTATACTGTTATAGTTGGATCACTTTTTAGTTTTTTGAAATTTTCAGGCCCTTTCCCAAAATTTAGACGAAGTTTTCACACTTTTTTCAAATATTTTCGTAAACCAAGTATTTGATAGAGTTATTATTTATTGTATAAGAAGTAGGTATAGGAATAGACATAAAATAATTATATATTTATTTGGTATATTTGTATACCATTCTAGCATACTAATGTACAAAATATTAAATACTAATATATTATTTCATTATCGTATATGACATATACCATATGGGTATCATAATATACTACACCAATATATTTTAACTGCTACTAATATATTATTTTTGGTATATTATATGCTAGAATAAGTTATTTTTTAATAATTAATACATGAAAAAATAAAAATAAATAAAAAGGTGTACTATATCGTTATCTTTTTTCATATAGTTAAAAAAGAAAGAGAGAAAATATATCATTTTGGGTTAAACTGGCGAGGAAGAATTTGTACAGTATACGAAAATGACATACTATATACCATTTTGGTATATAATTCATTCCAATTGTATACTGTTACAGTATACTATATAACGTAACAATATACTATTACAATTTGGTCCTTTTAGAATTTTTTTAATTTTTCTTTATGCATGTGTATTATGTAATCATTTTAATTTTTTCTTTATGCGTTTGTTTTATATAATAGTATTATAGTACAATATCTTGAATATATTATTATATTAATATGTGGTACATTATTTTTAAATTTTTTTCTTTATGCATGTGTATTATGTAATCATTTTAATTTTTTCTTTATGCGTTTGTTTTATATAATAGTATTATAGTACAATATCTTGAATATATTATTATATTAATATGTGGTACATTATTTTTAAATTTTTCTCTTTATGCATGCGTATTATGTAATAGTAGTATAGTCATATATAGTT